CACTCTGCTCTCTTGAGCCCCGTTTAAAAAATGTCCCAGGAGCGTCCGAAAGGCTCCGCGCGCCGCTCCAGCCAAGGAAAATACAGCTTATGAAATGGAAATTCTGAGTCCATTCACTGAGTGCCAGGAATCACTAGGAGAAGAAGAAAAAAAACACAATGTCCATCGCAGTACATCCAGGAGCTGAAGTCGGAGGGGGGGAAAACACACACCTTGCTCACACAGACACACACAAGCAAAACGGAGCTTTCTGCAATCTCCGAACCGCTCAGCCGCCGGTCCAACGAGCGGCCCTTTTTTCTACGCTTCTGGCAAGAAAGGTTCCTCGGATTGCGTTTCGACCAATGCGTTTTGCCTCCTTTGCTGTCCTCACTGACTATATACCTCCAAATCAAGGCTGGCTGGAATGTGATTGACTACGTGGGAAAACACAGAAAAACACATACGCTAAAATGCCAAAACCAGTGCCTCCAGATTCTACGCATATCTGAAGCCTGTATCACGTACAAATATGGGACAGCAATTTGAAAGACGAGGATATTTACTTTTCTGAGATGATCTAACGAGAAAAACATTGTTGCATCATGGGAAGTGTAACATCTCTGCGTATTTGTCTCTGGTGGAAGTGCAATACCAAGTCGCCCTCGTACACATTGAGAGGAGAAGCACTGCCATTTAAGTCATTCGAGAGCTGCGAACAGCGAAAGAGAACACGGCGTGAGAGCTTCTTCACTCTGGGTTTTCCATTTGCGTGGTGGCATTCAGAAGAAACAACAAGTGTGTTGTGATGATGATGAGAATGACTATCAACTCTATGATGTTTGGACAATCTACATTTGGGAAACTCAAATGACATCCAGGCTAGCCAAGATTTTGGTTTTCTTATGATCACAACGACAACATTTCAAATAGATTTTCTTTGTTTGTAGGAAGCAAACATGTAAAACGAGCTTTTGCTCGGCTGGCTAGTATTTTCATACTACACATTTCTATGACGACCAATCCAGGGTGTCCCCCGTCTCTCGCCCGAAGTTAGCTGGGATTGTTGGATTGGATGTGTGCAGGAGAAGCGGTTTGAAGTTGGATGGATGGGCATCTATCACCTGAACACATTGTCTTCGCGCTCTGACCTCGCAGGTTTTTAAGATTCAAGTCGCTTCGAACCTTTCGACCGCGCAAAGCGCCGTTGTTTTCCTGGCCGCAGCTACTCTTTCAGCAGTAACTCCGCAGGGAGCCGTGTGAACGGGCTCTCATGACCGGAATGAGGCCAACGAGATGAGGTCACGAGCAGACGCAGCTTAACGCGAAGCAGACGGAGGTTAGACTATCAGCTGGGGTTCAGCTGTTGCTCTATTGTGTCTCCGCTGCTTGTTTCATGACCAAAAATATATTGGACCTGCAAAAGTGCTGCACAAACAGTTTTTTTTTCCAGGCAAGCGTTGCTTCTCTTCGTGAAAGTTGCTCCACTGAGAGAGGAAGCGGAGGAGTGTGCTGGTGAAGGGCTGCTTATCAGGCCAATGTGTCACATTGGGGGTGTCCGGGGGCACAGAAGAGGGAAGTGAGTTGCTGCAAAGAGGCCAGCGGTGCACAACGAGGGCAAAACACAGGAAATGCTCATGTCACGTCAACCCCTCCCGCCCCCCTCTTTTTTTTGAACTAAAACCACGATAATCACTTTTCCACAATTTGCCAAGATTTTGAACGTTTTATTTCCTCCTCGTTTCCTTGAGTTATTTTTTTCATCTTGTCCTCTCTTTGGTCGAGCACCAGGTGGGGTAGGTGGGGGCTGTGGGGGGGTTCTGTTGGCATTCTTGCACCGTGTGCTTTGCGCTCGACCGGGCCTTGGCTTGGGTCCATATCCCCTCTCTACCCTCTCTCGCTTCTCTGACTCCCTCCCTGCTAAACACCCCCCTCTCCACACACACACACACACACACACACACACCCCTCCTCAACTGCCCCCGCTCTCTTTCCTAACCACTGCCAGCGACGCCAACCAGCCCCCACCCTCACCCACTACTCCTGCTATCACCTTCCTTAACCCTTCCTCATGTTTCTCCCATAATTCACCACCCACTTCCTGTTTCCCCTCACCCCTTTCTCTCTCCCATCCCAGTGGCAGCGGGTCCAGCCTCTGTGACACCGACGCCCCCGGTAGCTCTGGGCCCTGGACATTGGGAGCAAAGCGTCGGTGCAGGCGAGGGGGGGGGGGGAGGCCGTGTGTTACACTGCGTTTCCAGGGTTGTGTGTGGCGTTGGGGTGCGTGCGAAGGGGGAGATGAAGGGGGGAAAGTAGCCAGATACTAGATCTGGGGTTGCGAGTTTGTTTAAGCTGAACTCTCGCTCTCACAGAAAACGTCTTTCCTGCTCCGGGCGAGCGCACAGCCAGAGACGGGTTGGGCGAGATCTGTCCTCGCAACCCGCCTGTGCTGAGAGGGCAAGAACTCCCGCCAATTGTTTTTTTTGGTTTTGTTGCGATTCTTTTTACTCGTTTACCCACGTTTGCTTTTGAAACATGTTTGGTTTGTAGGGTGTGTGTGTGTGTGTGTGTGTGTGGACAGTGCACGAGGTCAACATGTGGTCTCCCAGTTTGCCACGTCTTATTGATCCAGCTCGTGTGTTCAGGGTTGGCCTTTATCCTTCTGCTCCAGCTAGTTGCTATCGCCTCCATCGGCACGAGGCCATCAGCCTACGTGGAGATCGTGGACCTGAGGTCATGTATGTGCAGCGGTAGTTTCAGTTCTCACTTTGAAATGCAGAGGTCACAAAAATCCGCAGAAACTGAAGAAAAGAACAAAGAGCAGCCATATATATGCATATATGCATTTATATATTTCTTTCTTTCTGGACTGGCCTCAATCTTCACCTGCTCCCTTTACCTTATTCATTCTTTTCATTTGAGGGACTTCAGTGGGGGCGGGGTGGGGGGGGGGTATAGGAGTATATAAGCGAGAGAGAGAAATGAGATGCCTCAACACTTCACTGCCCTCCTCCTCTCCATCCAACTCCCCCACACACCTGGGATGGCCATTTCATTTCAGAGTGCAGCAAATGGAAAGGTGATCTTAATCTACCCTGTTTCCCTCTGACCCCTCCCGCCCCCACCACTGCTCTTTCCATTTCCCACACACAGAGCGGCATGGCGCTGATGGACAGCACACTGCAGGTCGCCTGCCGCACGGCGGATGTAGTGAAAGAGAACATTGGACGCACGGCGGTTTCTCACCTCCAACAAATTCTCCTGATATTAATGTGTTTTTTTTAGAAAATCTTTTCTGGGGTTTGCAATTCTGACTCGCTGGCTGGCCGCTGTTGACTTTGGTCAAAGTCTTTGCCGCAGCCTCTGCAACCACCCCCATTACTCAGTGTTGGGCTCTCTCACCACTGTCAGCTCTTTGGTCATTACAGTCACGGGCAGACGCATGCGACGGCCATTGATTTTCGACTGAACAGCTCGCCGCAGGCCAGTTCATTAGAAAGGTGATCTCACACACCACTGGATTAGCTGGGCTGTAGGCACATGGAAGAAAACAAGGTGTGTAACTCTGACAAGCTGTGAAAAGGTGTTTTTATTGAGCTTTTCCCCCCCTGTAACGGGAGTGCACGCTTTAAACGAGAAGAGAAAAAAGAGAAAAAATAACTTTGGATGAGGTGAAACTTTTTTGAGGCTCACAAAAAGAACCATTTTCATTTGCCCGCCTGAGAAAATTCAGTTTCAATCCGAAGTGTCTCCTTCCAAAAAAAGTATATTTTTTATTTTCTCTGAAAAGCCCTCTGCCACAAGGGTGGTCATCTTTGAGGAAAAGAGAACCTCACTTTCTGCCTCCTCTCTTCCTCTCCTCAAACACATCGCTCGAGGCTGGACCGAGGCTGCACCCACCCAGCCGGTTGCCATGGCAACGCTATCTGGGCCCACCAAGACCTGAAGCCGAAGGACATCCTGGACAACAGTACAATAGCGGCACAGCCAGGGTACCTGGGGGACTTAGACCTGAGAGGCGAGATCTGGCGGGTGGGAGGGGGGGGAGGGGGGTGGGATTGCAGATTGAGAGAGCAAATCCTCTCTCGTTTGAAAATACCTCCTTTGCACACAAACACAATCAGGGTGAGCCTTTTGCTTCAGAGTCTAGAAGCGCCGGATCAATACGTTTATTGTTTTCTTTTGCGGTAAAAATACATATTTTGACAAATATTTTCTGGTGGGTAAAAAAAACTGGACTAGCCGCATGGATTGTGTAGTCGAGATGGTCATAATAGTTTCATTGTCTTCAATCGCTGGTAGACAAACTGCAAGGACCGGGCCACACATCCGGCCGCCGCTGCCAGCCGTGGAGACTAATCGCAATGTTTGGAGTTGATTTGCCTCGCTTGCATTCCTCCATGTACAGCTGCTAAAATAATAAGTGGAGGGGTTACCTCAGGTCGGCCCTGACTGGGGGGGGTACGGAACATGCATTGTTGTCATTGGCTCCGTCTGAGTATCCGTCCTTAAAGCCGCAGCACGGAGCTGAGGAGCCACCGCCGGGCGGTTTGCAGAGGCACAGTCCTCGGGGGGGGGGGGGGTATCCGCATGTGTCCTTGGGCAATATTAAACGTATCGTCGTTCTATTCTTATTTTAATTCATTGGTGGTTGAGGACATGTTGTGTGGCTGCGCTGTTGGGTAACACCGTATCAATGCGAGTATTTGTGTTCCATTGAAGCCGTAAGAGGATTCCATGACGGCGTTATGAAGCGTAGTAGCCCCGCAGCAGGCAATTGAAACTCTTCATCGTGGAGAAGAGGGAGTCATGCTGTGCGATGACTGAGTTTACACAGTTCCTGCGCATCTTTTGTCTGTCAGCTTCTGCTGGCTTTAAAAACACGGATTTGTGTCTATTTAACGTGTGTTTATCTCCCAGTGGGTGCAGGCACAACACCGTGGATGTCCATGTGTGAACAACAAGACCTACTTAGTCATGCTAAAGCACCCGTCTTACACCTACTCTGTTTCCTTTTGCAGGCAGCCTAAGAAACAGGATGTTAATGCTCGACGGAATGCCTGCAGTCCGAGTCAAAGCTGAGCCCCTGAAATTGGAACAAGGGGTAAGTGAGCAGTTGTTTTCTAGACGATTCCCTCTTTTCATTTTTTTTTTTTCTCCTGCCTTCCTTTCCGCCTTTCCTCCTCCTGGCAATAGGCTTCATAATCATTCCCAGGCCCCAGCAAGTGAGCGAGAGAGTGAGTGTTGGGGGGACTGAGAGGAGTGGTCGGACAGCATGGTAGTACGCAGGAAGGGGAGAGGAACCGAGGAGAGGAGGAGAGCCACAGCTGGAGCAGGAATGCATGGGGGGGGTTCGTGGGGGCGGTGACTGGGGCCAGCGGAGAGCCTGTTCTGGCTTGGGGGATAATTTTGCAGATGTAGCCGCTGCTCCGGGGAGGATGGTCACACGGGAAAATTTAAATCTTATCTATCTCAATTTCCCCTTCATCCTCACCCATACCCTTCTTCTTCTTCTTCTTCTTCTTCTTCTTCTTCTTCTTCTTCTTCTTCTTCTTCTTCTTCTTCTTCTTCTTCACCACAAACACACACACAGAATCTCCCATTCTCGTTCACACAGACACAACTTCTCTGCAAAGATCTCATCGCAGCTCCATCTCTTCCTCTGACGTTTCTCACGCTGGCACTCTCTGTCACCTCTGTCGGGTCTATCGGTGGATATGAATTTATCACACAGAGTAAGTCTTCAAAGGGAATGTTTGCTCTTTGGTCTTGGTCTTTACTCAAAACGCCCAATTAGATCTCATTTTTTAGATCCACGTTGAACTAGACCGTGCTTGTGTTGACCATGTTAGGAGTAATGGGGGTACCTCACGCAGGGCTTTTGTACGGCCCATGTACAGTATCAGTTCTCTCTGGTCCAACATACCTAGAAATAAAGTGGTCTTGTTATGGAAAAGCGGTTGCTAGGCTACAGCGGGCTTCTTGTGCGGCTGCCACAGCTGTGTGTGCGGCGGGTGCGGGCCACCTAATATTTGTAATCACCATGAATTAGCGTTCGGTTATTATCGATTTCCATTCATAGCATATCAATAGTATCCTGGCCCCTAACATATCAACGCGAGCACTCCGATGAGGGGGAGCTAAGTAGTGGAGCGAAAACAGAGGGCATTAGCCCGTGATGGATGAGGAAAACAGCCACGGGGCTGCCTGCGTGGGTGCTTAGCATTGATAAGAATCAAGTCTGCCTCTACACATCCAAGGGCTTGACGGAGAGGCAGCAGGTGGCCGGATTTCTGGGCGTCCTCGCCCCCCCGGCTGGGGCTCAAGGGTTCGAGAGCCGTGCTCCCGAGCTGCTCCCCCCCTGTTACCTGGGGTTTTCTGGAGCCATCCTCCCCTAGCAAAGTGCCGGTGATGTCAGTCACAGACAGGATGTGGGTAGCGCAGCCCTCACAGCTCATTTTGAGGCGTGGCGAGATCCAAATCTACACCCCGAACCGACTGCGCTTCCCTTTCTAGACAGCGGATGCAGAAAGAAGTTTGGTGGCGCTGCAGAAATGTGGTCTTCATTTGGGTGGAGGGGGGCCAAGGGCTGGCTGGAAACGGTCTGGCCTGTTAGACGATTCGCCCGCAAGGGGCTGGAAAATCTCCCCCGCTAACCAGTAACCCCTAATAAAGACAACGGCATGAGGACAGAGGCAGGCAGGCAGTCAGGCGGGTCGAGCAGATCATCTGTCTGTCTGTCTGCCTGTCTGTCTGCGTGCGAGTTGGAGAGTGCATGTGTGTGTTTGGGCGGATCGATGTGTTTGTAACTGTCAAAATGAGAGCAGTGGGTGGCTTGAGTCTTTTTTCCATTTGTGCTGGTTGAGATGCGTCCGGGAACCCGACCTGTTTTCACTTTTGTGAAACCCCAGACGCCTTGTTGTTTTGACCTTTGCTGCATGCGCCTTTTCGCACAAGAGCCACAGTAGGATTGGCCAACTGTTTAATGGGTTATCAGCAACTGACTGTATTCCCAGTATAAATGATGGCTCCTCCCATAAGCACAAGACGTTAAAATGAAAGTAGTCTCCCGTTCTCCCTTTTGTCCACCTTAACAAATTCAATGCAATTTGGAGCCAATTTTTCCAACTCAACTACAACAAAAATGCCCCCAAATTTGATCAGGAGCTGAAATGTTTAGTCAAAGGCTCCATTGTAGGACCTTTCATCCAACCCACCATCTTTTGGTGTCTGTTGCTCGACTACCTCTCAGTTGGGTCCACTCATCCTTTTTTAGCCGTTAGCTACTGATGCTACTCGCTCGTTGCTTTTATGAATGTACGCCCGGCTGTTTTGTTAATCAGAAAATATCCCTGAACAGCATTCGGATTCCACTTCCTCTCCTTCCTCTTGACTTCTTTTGGACGTAGGAAGAGCTGGCAACACTGCAGAACTTCTCCTGCCAGCTAGACACACTCAGAGAGAACTTCCTGAGAAAGATACGATTTCTACACAGAGATCAGCCTCGATAGATCTGATGACTTCAAAGCCCCGAGGCGGTGTAGCTCCAGGTGATCCGTGACACTCGCATCCTATACAGAACATGCAAACACGGAGAGATCCCGTGCAAAAGCAGCTGGATGATGAAGCCTGAGGGTCCGTCAAGAAAGGCTGCACGGGGTTGATGCAGGAGAGAAAGGCTATTTGACACCACAAACAGGCATATTAAAGCAGGTGATATTTCATGTGCAATGTTAGTCAACATAAACCGTTGAGTGGCAACTTAGATGGATAACTTAGGTAAATGAAAGATTCACATGCTGGAATAAAATCTATATTTTATCCAGTAAACTTTGATGGCCTTGGTAGCTGAGTGGTTACAGTACATGCGAGATGAGCACAATGTCCTGCCTTTGTTCAGTGCCGTACATCTCTGCCCTATTTCTACAGTGTCCGCCGCCAAATCAATAAGAAAGTGCCAAAAAACAAGACTTGGCTAAACTAGACATGTTACTTTATATAGGCTGTGATGGTTATTAATCATTCATCAAAGGCATCTCGCCTTGAGGTTGCTCTTTATAGAGCCAAACGAACATTTTCAGGTTAATTATGGACTAAAGAAAATGTGCTTATGAATATTATATTCAATTTCTCCTACTGCAATCCCCTCGCTGCTGCACAAAGGCCGGGCTGCTTCACACAAACTCTAAATGTAGGGTCTTAAAGTAAAGACTTTCGGACTCTGCTGCCAAGGATCCGCTGGGACTGAGATGCATGCGTTGGTCAGCTTGTGTACTGTACATTGTGAGTATTAGTAACAATAAGCACAACGAATTTTCACATGATTCTGCAGGAATCACCACAGGAATGTATTAGACTCCGCAGCCTCCTCCTCCACCTCAGCTGTTCGTATACTCTAAATACTATGTTGTTGACTCTGACATCAACCACAACAACAACAACAAGCTAAATGTACAGGCAGAATTGTGCAGGAACACCGTAAACGTCTTGGTGGGTGGTATGATGAAGCAGGTCACAATGTGCCGCGCATCCGGACCGTATCACCGCTGACCCTGAGCTGAACCCTCCCAGTGTCCACCGGTCGTCACAGGCTCCTCTTCGTGGGGTACGGCTTGTTTTCCCGCTGAGAGGTGGAGGAGGCACAGTGAGAAGCGCTCGTGACAATCCACAGCACAGGACGACAGCTGCGATTTCCCCCTCTCCTGTAACAGGCTTTCCCCTGTATGATTATTCAAAACTCCCAGACGGCCCTAAATGTGACGCAGCCTCCGAAAGGCCGCAGTTTGAGGATCGACACCACACACACGAGCACCCCTCCCACACTCGAACGCTGTGAGTCCATATCGAAAGACGAGAAACAAATAACTAGAGACAGCGACACTCGCTCTCTCTACCCTGTGTCTTCGTCAGTATCTTTTTTTTCCTAGATAAACCGCTTCCCGGAGCTATTGTTACAGTCTGTGAAATATGTGGGGAGGGGTGCACTGAGCCACCAGCATGTGGCCTTAGAAGGCCCATCGCAGAGGGAGAGAGAGGGAGAGAGAGACGGCCCGGAGATTGAGCCCACATGAATGTTTTTCCACCGTCACAAAGGGGATTTAGGTACGAGGGGAGCCGAGCGAGAGAGAGAGAGAGAGGCCATTGTCCACCTGCAGCAGTACAGATGTGAAATGTCAGGCAACGAGTACATTGATTCATGACAGATTGTTACTACTTTCTCCCGGTTTGTGTGTATATATCAAAAAAGATTTCTGCTTCTGCTTCCACAGTCTCCTAAAGTACGTCCTTACTCTGCGATGGACGGCGTGCCCTTCTTCCTCAGCAGAGTCAAAGCGGAGCCCCCAGAAGACCTGCTCGCCCACGACCTGCACTTCCACACGCAGACCGAGCCCGTCGACCTGTCCATCAACAAGCCCCGCCCCTCTTCTTTGTCCACCACCCCTACCACCACCTCGTCATCCTCCCCCCTCCGCTACGCCTTCTCGCCGTCTTCTTTGTCGTCGTCCTCCTCCTCTTCCTCCTCCTCCTCGCCGTCGGTCATCACCTCCGCGCCATCGGTGCTCACGCCGGGCCCCCTGGTGGCCCCCGGAGGCGGGGTGAGAGGTCAGCCGTATTTGCACATCCTGCACTCTGTGCCGGCGCCTCCATCCAGCCCCCTGAGTCTGCACGGAGCGGGCAAGCTGGGCGGCCATGTGCACCGCATACCGGTGGTGGTGCAGTCGCTGCCCCTCATGTACACCACCGCCGTGCGATCACCATCCAGCCTCAACAACACCATCATGCTACCTCTGCTGGATGAGGTGAAGAGCAAAGGTGAGAGGGAACGCGCTCCAGGAACTTACTGCGTATTCATTTAGCTGACTTTTAGCTCATTGGGTTAAACGCTATTATTCCGTAGGTGCCCCAGCACCTAAAGGGATTCATTAGGATTGAGACTTTGAGCTTTTGCTTGATGATTATATTAGTATAATATTAGTTTTACACAGTAAGTGAAGTTAAGTTTCGCCACAGAAATGAGAAAACAATCATTCACCAATGTCAACACGGTTGAATATTTTGAATGTCCAGCTGTTAACCTTTGGAATACTCTCCTGCTACATTCTCGCAAAGGTTTTTTTGAAATCCTGAAAAATACAATTGACAACTTTTTAGAGTTTTAGAGAGTTTGATTTACCTCCGTGACATCAGAGTGAAGATGAGTTCTACAGGTTAAAAAAGACGCTCATCTTTATCCAACTTTGGCACGTTTTTTGCTCTTATGTCTCTGGTGGACGTAACCACGGCAACACCGGCCAGTATTACCGTCGGGCCGCGCCGGCCTGGCCTGGGCCGTGTTATTTGTTTCCTCTCTGGGTGGGGTTTTACTGCCAGCCACTGGGAGTGAGCCCACAGTAGGTGTTTCTCTCCAAGTCTGGGCCGCACACAGGCCAACTGTTGGTTGTAAAAAGGAGGTTGCTTCATGTCACTCCCTGCAGGATGGACACACACACTCAAACTCACACTGTGTGTGTGTGTGTACATACAAGCAGCAAACACATGTAATAAGAGCGTGAGGTCAGAGGGACACTTGGTCAGCCTGGGTGGGGTGGTCCCCTTAGAGACGGGGCGTTTCGTGTCTGAGAAGAGGGAAGAAGGACGGACAGGAAAAACAAGGCTTGCATAAGAGGGCGTGGATGGGTATTGCAGATTGGTGGCACCTACGCAAACACATGCACGCACACCCAAACACAAACGCACACACACACAGTCCGACATCGGCTGAAAGCTCGAAGCACTGCGGACACGGGCTGAACGGACTGTTTGCATGTTGGGTGTGGTGGATAAAGCAACATGTTGCTATTTATTTCACTTAATGAGACTTAATGAATGTTTGCTTAGGATTCCCGCAGTCCGAGTCGAGTGAAATAAATTAGATAGAGCTACAATACATTTGCTTACATATGAGTAGATTGTTTTCATTTGAATCTTTTCTATTATCACTATTGTTTGGCGGATTGGAATAAAAGCCACGAGCGTCACAATCTGCAGCCCACTGCCCCTCCACATGAAGTCAGGTGTGAGGGTCAAGAACCCATCTTGTTTGCCTTGATACAGACAGAACAATCATGTGCTCTGAAGCAAGTCTCAATCATGGAGCTTTCAACATGGATACTAGAATGCTCGCGCGCACACACACACACACACACACAAACACTCCCACTCACCCACATGCACACACAGGTTTGGCCATCGTCTTTAAGAGAGGGCGGGTACCCTTCCTTTCACTGCTGTCTCCCTGTCTCCGGCAGGAGGTTGCCATGGAAACAGGGCTTGACTGGATACAACAGGAGAGAAAGAAAGAAATCCGGTGCTCTGCCCACCTCTCCGCCGCTACTCCTTTGTGTCCCTCGCTCAAAATACCCCCCTTCTCCACCTCACGCCGCATTTCTGACTAATTACAGGTTTTCCATTGGGCAGGCGAGTCCGGGGTGACCACTCTGCATGTCTTAGTTGACAACAGTTCAATCGCCCCCCCCCCCTACCACCTCACACTCCTACACACCCCACATCCCCAGTAATAACACTGTGTCTGCACCCATCTCTAGACCCTCATTATGGGTCATTATGGCCCCAGTCTCGGCTGAGAGGGCAGAGGAGGTGAAATCCTGATAGCTTTTATAAAAGCGCCGGGCTTACAGTGGGTGGGGATGTCGCAGGGAAAAATGTATCACTGTGTATTCTGCGTAAGTGAGGATAACAGAGTAGTTATTTCTGATATATTAGTCATACAGATGCAGCGCCCCAATTTTTACCTAGTTGGTTTCCAGCAACTTTTCCTTGACAAGTTGTCTCCGGCAGGAATTCATATATATCTATATGTCTTACAGTCATCATTTGAGATGTCCAGGATGTGCGTGGCCTGTGTCCATGGTGACGGAGAGGACAGAATGGCCGCGGGCTCTGGCAATATATCCAATGAGCTGTCTGGGCGAGAAGTTGTCACAACTGGTGGAATAGATGTTACTTTGTCATGCAGCTCAAGCGACACGGACCCCCCCCCCCCAGCGCTCACGGCTAATAGCACGCCAGTCAAACGGAGCAGGTTTTTTTATATTGCTCTTCTTGGTCACCATGCGAAAGAGAAGAATCCAAAGCTCGCTAATCAGCAGGATGTTCTGTGCAGAAGATGCAGCAGCAAACGGGGGGATTCAGGCTTCTGTGGTTGTCTCCGGGCCTTTCATGTGGAAGTTTGCCATTACCACGAATACCATTCTCTGTCAGTCGCCCGTTTGTAGGCTCATGCACGCATACTTTTTTAAAAAACTTGGACATGTTCGGCATCCACGCTGACACGCTGAATAACACGTGCGCAGCTGTACCCACTGACTCCTGTGTCCCGTCCTCACAGCACACACGGACCTGTCGCCAAGGCAGATCAAGAGCGACAGCGACGACGACGACCTGCCAAACGTGACCTTGGACAGTGTTAATGAGACCGGCTCCACTGCGCTGTCTATAGCCCGCGCAGTACAAGAGTGAGTATCAGAATCTCTGTGTGTGTGTGTGTGTGTATCGGGTCACCTCGCTGACCTTTTCTCCTCAACTGACCCTCACCGCTCTGCCGCGGGCTGGTAATTCTGCTGTGTGTTGTCATGGTAACATGTTTGGCTCCTTCCTGTTTGGGGTTATGGGAGTTTCCATTTGGTCGACTTCTACTGTATTGATAGTGCTGTTGTCTTTTTTCCTCAAACTAACTTTCCTACAAACTATCACTCACCCAAGTTGTAAAAGGTTAAATTATGATATAACTATTTATTTAGATAAATGCTTTATGGAATCTTGTGGCTACAAACTAACCATATTAATAATAATAATAATAATATGGTGGTTATCCAATAACTTTTTAAGAAAAATATTCTGAGAATAACTGTATTCTATTTGGGGATTTCATCTACTGACAGAATTGGTTGTCACTAGTCACCTTTGCCATTAGCCAATGTCGAGATATTGAGAATTTGGGTATTGAAATATAAAGAAAACGTCTAATTTAAAATGTAATAATGTGAACGTTTTAGAAAGTCTGAATAAAATGTAAGAATTTAACTAAAAGTTGCACATCGCATCGGGTTCCCTCTGCTCAGCCCTCCCTTTCCCATCATGTGGAAGACAAAGACGGCCTTGGGTAACACTGTATTTCCCACAAGTTGTGTCCCTGGATCACAGCAGTGTTTATATACAAACCCAGCATAAAGCCTAGTGTGCATGTCTGTGATGGGATGTGAAGCTGTACGTGGGGGGGGGCAAACTCAGACACACTTAATGCCCAGACATCACCACTCCTGCGATGCCAGTCCATCTGCGGTAAATATAAAAGTGGACGACAGCTCACACCATCCCGATCAGGAGCAGGAGGAGCCGGGCTTGGCCTCGTGCCCGCCTCCTTCCCCTGCTGCCCATAAAACCCGGAGCAGCCACTGCCTGCAGCCTGGCCAGACTCAAGTTAATGCCTGGCGGACTGTTATTTAGACTAACCGCGAGGAAAGTATTCCAGGACTCCCAGAGGATCCCGCTAATGGTGCAGCAACCGAGGGCCCGACCGGTCCAGCGCACGAGGCTTAACTTTGTGTACAAGACGTCGCCTTGTTTGTTTGTGCATTGCTGGCCGTGTGAACAGCTACAGTCATGAAACTAAATGATGCTCTTGCCATTGTGGTTTCACTGCGCAACACATTGTGGCGAAGGCTCTTGTCTCAGGCAGTGCTTGTTTAATGGAAGTACAAGCAGAAGTTTGCGTGTTCCAGGGAAAACACACACACACGCACACGCAGACAGAGAGAGAGACTCAGTGGAGGACTCGGGTTTCAGTGCCGGTAATTGAAAGGGACAGGCGTGCCCCCTGAGGGCCACACGTGGACACCGGGTGGTCAAAAGAGAACCGGGGTTGGCAGGGCCCAACCTTCCGCTGCCCCGGCTTCACCGAGGAGGGAAATCACCAGCCGGGGCTTTAACAAGCCCTCTCACACCTCTCCGTGTGCAAAGTGCACACTGCTCACGTGTGCGTGTGAAAAACAAAAACAAGAAGTACGTGTGCACGTCAGTAAGTATTAATCCCCCCCTCCCCCCCCTCCCCCGGTCTTTGCACCGTACGCGCGCACGTGATTTTCTGCACAGTGGACAGAACAGCTGGTTGCACAAGGGAGGGTCGAGCCATTGTCAACAGGAACACAGACTGGCATGTTTGTCTGTGAAAAACAAAGGCAGTCTGTAGTCGTCTTGAGTTGGCCGCGTGGAGGAAGAATGTGCATCCTTTATTGGCACAACGCACGCGCTCGCGCTGTGGACATCTGCAGCATAACAGAAGCCGGCGGCGCTCCCCCCAAACGTATCGGACCATTGTGTCGCCCTCGCCATTTTTCTCTTCAACGCGTGCCGTGATTTGCTTTGCGTAATTTAGTGTCCACATTTGCACAAGCAGTCGTCCAGAAAGCACCGCGGGAGAGGAGTGAAAGGGGGGCGGGGGGGTGGGAGTGCCTGCACCCTCCACTCCAGGTATCTATGTATAAATAAATGAGTGAAAGGGGAGAGTGAGATATGAAGTGTGTGTGTGTGTGTGTGTGTGTGTGTGTGTGTGTGTGTGTGTGTGTGTGTGTGTGTGTGTGTGTGTGTGTGTGTGTGTCCTGGGCTTCTTGGGCAGCCTCCTCCATATTCATGCGTTTCCCTGGGGACGGGTGGATAGGCTATTGTGGGAGAGGGAGAGTGAAAGGGAGGAAGACAGGAGAGACGATGTGTGTGTGTGTGTGTGTGTGTGTGTGTGTGTGTGTGTGTGTGTGTGTGCGTTGGGGTTTAGGGGCCTGTGTTGGGAGGGTTGTCTCTGCTGAAGTTTGGCCCGTCCCCGAGGCACCGGGGGCCACGGAGCAGAGCGGGTGGAGGGAGCAGAGGTGTAGGGGAGGAGGCAGGGGGGGGGTTGTATCCTTGGACAGGTACAGGAATGCCCCGTGGGCAGCGTTCCAGTGAGCACACACAAACACACACACGCTGTTTTCTCCATAAACACACTGGCACCGTGGGTCTGTCATTGTGACCCGGTTCCCTGTGAGAAGTTGGTAAAGAAAACGTGGATTGCGTTTGCGTTTTGGTGAAGCCTCCGTTGCAGGTGACCGACGTACACGCTGCAGGCCTCTCGGGTAGAGCAGCGGGGGAAGCCGGGCGGGGGGGGGGACAAAGAAATTGGAAACCGAGGTTGAGTCTGTGAAATTGTTGTCAGCTGTACTTCTCTCTGGTGCATTTACGCCGCCCGGCTCACATGAGGAAACACAGCCAAGTACTTCTCACTAAACCGCCACGACAAATGTATCCAAAGTCGTGCTATTGAAGACGTAAAGACTAATTGTTTCTACCCTTAAACACACCGCACTCACTACTTTGTCTTCCTCATTTTCCACTTTTCTAATCGTTGGTTGAAAAAGTTATTCACGAGATTGAAGGAAAAACTCTAAACGAAACATCTCTGTGTTATAGTTACACATCGGAAAGTCAACAAGTCCATCCTACTAGTAGAATCAGTCTGAGCACATCGATTTTTATTATTCAGTCTTTATTATTAAGTCTACACTGGCAAACCTGATGGAGGACACCTTGAAATGAGTCAAGGGATGAGAGTTGCACATGGTAGGACATGTCTCAGGGACTCATGGACACAACATCACATGCTACGGTACAAGCTGGGGCAGGAGCTCCTGAAGAGGAGGCTGACCACGGTGGGAACGATGAGGTAAAACAGGCCTGAGCTCCCCAATATCAACCATATTTGCCGTTTTTATATTGCTTCTAATTGGGATGAAGTAAACATTTGTTGAGTAATTTAATATAAGATTGTTTGATTTTGTATACAGCAGGTCCAACAGACCCACAACACCAGCTGAGTAACTAAAAAAAGAACATTGTACGATGAGTACAAAGATGAGTTAAGATAATTTTATTTATTTTTAAGAGCAACATGAAAACATTAAATAGTGAGTATTCTTTTCCATTAATCATCTGTAAGAAATGTACTTACCAGTGTACCAGGTTAGAAAAATTATGGATTCAGACTTATTAACCAGACAATTTAACCCTCCCAACCATCGAAAACCCGCCAGTAGCCTGGTGTGAAAAGTGAAGCCAGCGGAAAAAGTGCCCTCAAGTTGAAGAGTCCTCTGGTTGCCAAACGATGTAGGTTTGCATAGAGGTCTATGAGAATAAGACACTTCCCAGTTTAGTCGATGGTCTGTAGTTTCAATACAGCATGATGTTCATTCAGTCACTTATGGTCTATTTTGAGTCAAACAAAGCACGTAGGCTGCGTCCTGAATGAAAGACGTAGGCGTATGATTTGGACTGGGCTCGATTGGCATTTGACATGTTAGTGTTTCCGTTTTTGAACCTTAAACCTTCACCGCTGTGTTCAAACTTAGTGGCTTGGCTCCGGCCTCTCGTGTTACTCCCGGTTGCAAAAAAAGAGAGAGAATCGAGCAAAATGTGTAATTCGTCCACAAACCAATGGATGACCACCACTGTGACTCCGCCCACTTTTTATACACGGTTTTGAAAAACTCCCAATGGGTGTCTTATTTGATCCACTTTTACCTTTTTTTTCAATGCCGATCGTTTTCATTTCTCTCGCTGAATTGCGGTACTTTATTTCCTCGCAGGAATCGCTAAAACGTAATCCGAGTGGATTCTGAAATGTAATTACCTTTTGTTTAGCTGGAGAGCGCTTGCTACGTCTGTGTTTCTGTGCGTAATGAAGGTCGCTAATCAGTAGCACGTGCCCCAGTGGGGAGGACCCAGAATGCATTAGACCAGAGATCTGTCACCGAGCGCTGGGGGTGGAGCCGCGATGACGACAGAATTATCCCCTGCAGGTCAGAGGAATAAGGATTAGTTGTTGTTTGTTCTTTTGTGTTCGGAACCTTTTGGATTCCCGGAATGATATCATAATGAAGTCAGAATGTAAACATCTGCCTCATCTGCTGGATATCTCTCTGCCACACGCACACACACACACACACACGCACACGCTACCTTACAGTCCAGCCAGTAGTCACACGCTTTGTCACGGCACGGTGTGTCTGATGCTGACGCACAAAGCACCCATCCCATTAGCATCTGTGTGAGACGAACCGTGTCTTCAAGTCACTACGACGTAAACAGATCGCTGTAGACAGCGTCACTATTCGAGGCCGCGGGTGTGTGACGCTGTACTTTAAAGACTTGAGGAAACCCACGCAGGGCTTGTGTCTCAAACAAACACAGCACTTTCATTCAGGAGACCGACGAGGCGTCTATGCTGCACTGATGCTGCTTCGTTTGCGTCCGATGCGGGATGGATGTTCTGCGAGTGTGTTTGCCGTGGGCACCGATACCGTCTCTCCCACACATTGAGACACGCGGCCAGCTGGTTTCACATTGGTGCTCGAAATCGAAAGTGGCTCCGAGTTCGATCCAAGATGCTTATCAATATGGCATTGGCCAATAATCTCACTTCTTCGTCCAAATGTTGCACTTTTGACACGTCGTTGCACTATGATGGTTAATTATACACACACTGCAGGGGGAGGGAGGGAGGGAGGGAGAGAAGTCCACTTCATAACTGACCCCTGTGCTCATTTCCTGTGCAGCTTCAGATTGGCAGTGTGCCAAAAGCAACAGGTGATCTTTATGTGTGTGTGTGTGTGTGTGGGGGGGGGGGGGGGGTTTCTGTAAATCTGCGCTCCTCTCGATTCCCTGCGGGCACATTCTGAGTTGGCACTTGACAAATCGGGCTTCGTTGGGACAGGAAGTGGGTTGTGTGTCAGCTGCCCCCCCCCCCCCCCCGCTTTCCTTCCCTTAGTTGGTTTTCCAGAGGCGCAAAAACCAAAGACCGTCCTCACCGGTGAACTCCAACCCCCAGAGAGATGTATCTCCCCTTTAAAAGAAGGGGGCCTTCCTATTTAAATGTTTACTGCCGTGTGAAAGGACATGAACTATACTCCTCATCTACAACAACCCTACCTTCCCCATGTGTGTGCGTGCATGTGTGTGAGTGTGTTTAACATCATATTCACACGTGATAACATTGATTGGCCTCCCATAGGATGCTGCTCTACGACGCCTGAAGTGAGAGTGGGGCGCGCACGCTTCACAGTTGGAAGTGACAAAGTGACCCAATCCACAGTGGTATTAACGGGTTAACGGAGAGGAAATGTTGCACCTAAATGTATCGGATAACTCAGGAGCCATTAGCCTTGTCGGGGTAAAGCCCCCTCCTTCATCTCTCCGTCTGTAGTTGATGCGAGCAAGCGGGCCTTCGTAGCTCGTCTGCTTCAGTAGCGGTGCTGCACTGCCTCCTGCTGGCTCAGCTGCTGCTTCATGTTGTGCAGAACACTCATGATGAACTTACTCCACTCGTTTTATGGTAACACTCGTAACAGAACACTGACAACATTCTGGTCTTCCCACCAAAAAACAAGCAAATGTATTTTTGACCAATGAAATCACTGTTTGTCCAACATTTAAAAGTTGTGTCCATCAGCAGCACACTCTAAATGTTTGTAGTGTGAGTACACTACTCACTCTGCATCAGTACGACATGTCGTCTTCACAGTCTGACGATGCCTTTGTGTCCCCGCTTGTTCTCCCGCTGCAGCTCCATGTCCCCGTTCAGTATGGACAGCATACGGCGCCCCCGGAGGTCAGAGTCACCCGATTCCAAAAAGAGGAGAATCCACAGGTGTGACTTTGAGGGCTGCAATAAAGTGTACACCAAAAGCTCCCATTTAAAAGCACACCGGAGGACACACACAGGTCAGTGGGTCTCAGTGCGAATGGTGTAACTGTTCAAAAGGTCAAACGCTCATTTGTGTCGGAGCCTTTCATCCATGTGACGAGATATCGTGCTGCAATATCACCGGAAAAACATCTTAAAGAGTTCAAAGGGCAATTACTGAGCCACTTAAAAAAGATCTGGAAGTGCGCATCATTTATTCTAAATGAATAATATGATTTATTATTATTGTTTTATATTTAGCATACAGTAGATTGAACCTATTGATAATGCTCTGTCAGCACTAATCAATAATCAATGGCTGACCGGTGCATGTAAGCATTCTCACACATTGGTTTCAACTGGACCACATGTCGGGATGCTGTTCATCACTAGTGGGATCGTCATTATTATTTCTCATGCACACGTAAAGGGACCTACTTTTGACATCATTTTTTGAAACTTACAAACTGTGTCTCTGGAGAGGGACACCTTGGTCTCTGCGTCTCCGCCTTGGCCCCGTAGCTGCACAGAGTTTCTGTCCTGTCCTCACCGCCAGGTGGCGCCAAATCCCTCAAGTCTGTATGTGTGCTTCCCACCTACACAAAATACATCAATACGCAGTAGTAACGCTGAACGTATCTATATATATCTAATATGGCACGATGTGTTCAGGCATTATTTCTGGCCATAAGGCTTTCAAGTGTCTCTGTGATGGACATCCCGGGCCTTTCTGTCCCCGTCATGGAGGAAGACGGTGGCTGTAGCTGCAACAAAGACATCCATGTGGCTCATTGTCAGCTTTAAATGTCATGACAGACAACTTTCTGTATACCTCTGTCCACAAATTCAAAACCTGTTCTGTTCCATGATGAGCTGGACAGTACAACAGCACTTACTTGGCGATTATGCTTCTTTTTTTTGCTGCAATTAACAAAAAGAAAAATATATTTTGCTCAGAATACAATTTAAGGAAATTCATTAGAAATATGCTTCAAACATATTCTAGTTAATGTCACAGAAATTCCCCCCTGATGCAGACCGCTAACCCATTTAGCAAACCATACTGCTGGACAATAGACAATAGACAATTGAAACATGCTTAAATTGTCTGATTCATAAGAGTGAACATGCGTCCAGCTCAGTCACGGTACTGAACGTGTGATGCACCAGCTGCATGTGAACATGTGATGTCCCTCTGCAGGGGAAAAGCCATACAAATGCACCTGGGACGGCTGCACGTGGAAGTTCGCCCGCTCCGACGAGCTGACGAGGCATTACAGGAAACACACGGGGGTGAAGCCCTTCAAGTGCGCAGACTGTGACCGCAGCTTCTCCAGATCCGACCACTTGGCCCTGCACCGACGGAGACACATGCTGGTGTGAATCGCCTCTGGACGGAGACGTCAACGAAGAGAGAGAGAGAGAGAGATCAACAGACACACACACACGCACGCACACACACACACACACACACACACACACGGGCAGTCGGGGGAGCGGGACCTCCCCATGAATGTTTTTCAGCTGGCCTGGACGCGCACACGTGTACACACACACACACACACACGCATGCACACACACACGCACACACACGCTCATCCGTCACGAGGAAAGGAGGTGGAGATGTGCACAGGGTCACTTCTGGATCCCCTTTGGGTTGGAAGGAATGGACGGCAGGATCTGATATTGTTATTCTTTGGAATATAATAGGGAACTGTCTTTTACAGCACTGTTTGTACATGTTTCACTCTGGTTTTTAAAGATGAATTCACACTCTTTATTCGGACAAAACAATATATATATATATTGCAATGGCAAAGGTGTATTTTTTGTTGGAATCTTTCTTTTCTTTGTTGCTGCTTTTTCAGCACTCATAATGTGAAAGTCCACGATGTGTGGAAGGGATTTCCTGTGTGAGCAGGAGGAAGTTCTGCCCGGCCCGGATCACTGGTTGGAGCTGCAGGCCGTGTTGTTGCGCCGCGGCCAGCAGAGGACGCCACCGGCAGCAAACAGGAGCCTCGCCGCTACCAGCCCAATGGATCGACCTCCTCAACCACTTTTACAGACATTCGTTGCTTTATTCCCAAACCAAGGAAACCGGACGCGCGGACCATCGCACCAGCAATGGCCCCGCTGACAGGGGCCAACTCCCCAAATCTCACCAGTGCTGTTCTTTATGTGAGCCTCTTGAAAGCATTTCCTTAAAAAATAGACACACGCACGTCTTTGGTGGAATTTTTGCTGTGATTAGCAATCAGTTAAGTGCAATCTAAAAGGATAAATATCATTTCAGTATACCGATGTTATGTTTATTGAATCTTGCTTTTTTTCTTTTTATTTCATGCCTGCTTGTTTCGTTTCGTCTCAGAAGAAACACAACCCCTCATGTACAGTGAACTTTGCAAACAATCAGAGGAAATTTCCAGAATGTAAAAAAAAAAAAAACAACAACAACTGAGCGAAGGGCGACCATGAAGCCCCGCCCCTTCGCTCCGGAGGTGACAAACATGGCCGACCTCCTAACACAGATTGGTTCCGTAGCTCCGCCACGAGGTTTAATCTGGTCTTTTCACTTTTTTGGTTTAATTTTTGTTTGTCTCAAACAGAAAATCACTTGAAATGTTCTCACCTCAGATCAGATATGTGCGACGGGATTTAGGATTTGGCTACCGAATATGCTGAAAAATGCAGGAGTAACATCTGCACACACGCATAGGACATGTATACAAATAAAAAGATGCACACGCCATTTTAGATGCATTCACTGGCACGACTTCTCTTAAGTAGCACCTCAACCTCTATTAGGAAATGTAATTAATGAGTGCATTTTTATAGTCATAGCAACAAATATTTTTAAAGGTTTTTCCAATACTCCTCCGGCTGGGGAAGGCCTGCACCCATAAACTCAGAGAGGCCATCCCATAACATCCGTGCTGCTAAATGCATTCATTGGACCGGAGCCAGTGAGAAGAAAAGGCATCCCTGAAAACCACGCGTTCGCACACACACACATACACACACACACACACACACACACGTCCTCACTTCTCAGCAAAGTAGCCAAAGTCCGGAAGTCGCCTCCACACATGACTCCCACTCGATGCAATGGAGGATGGTAATGTGTGGTATCATAATTTATGCACATTGTTTGCGCACATGTCATTATGTCCAGTTGTATTATCATTTTGGCAAAAACATATCAGCACCTTGTTTGTCTTTTAAGTACAATTTTATCTAATTTCAGATGTCGATTTATAAACGAAGTCATTTTCGTGGTATTTTATCCTCCATATATTGTATAAGAACATTTTATTACTGAGGGGCACTTCATCCTTGCATATAACTTCTTTTTTTTCTTCTGTAAAAAGGATCTTTGGAAATGTTGTAATATATGTGACAGTGAAGATGAAACTTATTACAAAGTTCTACAGCCTGTATATACATTGGAAAATTAGGGCTTTTGATTAGTAGATGCAGGAAATACATTTATACGTGTAAAGTCTTTTTTCCAGACTGTAATTTATCTAATTTGATATACAGTGAAATGGGGCTAAAGGTGTCCGTCTTGTAAATTCCCACTTGTGACGTCACGGAGCAGTTTGCTTTCCTTGGTTTATGGTTCAATAAGCTCATGGTCAAATCATTTCTACTCCCGAAAGGCTGAACCGGTGTTTGCTCCAATCAACAAATTATTTATATACCAATTTGACCGTATTTAAGGTACTCTACTCCCTGTGTCGGCAAGAAACGATGTTAATCAAGCACATATCTGAGACGCTGGTATTCAGTGTACGACGTTGCATGCCTTAACGCGCCATTTTCTCAATTCGATTGAACTTGAACACGGCGTCTCGGCGAGACAGGGTGTGTGTGATATTTCCCTCCAGTATCTCTCTCCTCATTTCAATGCATAATTTTGTAACGGCAACCAGGGTCAAAGTTATGCAATAATAATGAATAGTGCCTCATATTGCAAAACTCGTAACATCAGCTGCTCTCTGCAGAGTTAAGATTTTCTTTCAACGCGTGTGCTTAGACGAATAAACATCCGATGGGAAAAGCATCAATTTTTGGACAAAAAGAACAGAAGACGCACATAGGACATTATGCAAGTGGGACCTTTAATGTTTAAACTTTCTCCTCCCACAGAGCCTTACGCCATCGTGTCCAATGCAGCGTCCTCCCACTAAACACGCTCACGTGGTTGCTTTTCTCGCAATAAGTCCCCCCCCCCCCCCCTCCCAGGGGGGCGGACCGGAGAGTCGAAGGCCTCTCGATGCTTCAGCTCCGTCCCGTCCATTGAACACGGAGGACGGCGAGGAGATCCCAAGTACACACTTCTCTATTGGTTCCATATCTATTTTGAACTTTCTGTTGTAACATCTGCTTCTGATTTCCTGGTTTTGAAGGTTTAAGTAGTGAAGCCTATGTTTTTTCCAAGTTTGCTGATATTACGTACAGTAATTGTTGTTCCCGTATTTATGTAAAGTGAGTGTAGTGTAAATATATTCAGATCTTTTCATTCTTACCGGGGGAAAAAAAACATTTAAAAAATATTCTGAAATAAATGTGATGATGCTCGGCGCCGCTTCAAATGGAGATTCTGCTCACAGAATTCCACATCTGTAAAATTTGTAATCCTGATATTTTTCAAAAATTCAAGAACAGGTGTCCTTTTTCTTTTCTTTTTGTTGTTTACTGTTACGCTTTTTCTTTTTTCTCTCCAAGAGTTGTTGAAGTATCCAGTCAGTGTTTTGCCTTTTTTCTCTCTGTATTTTTTCATATGGATGGAGCTGTGAAATTAAAATAAGTTCAAACATATACATGTATATTAATATGAATGGAGGCATGAAGGTTAATAAAGTTGCATTTTGTATGTAACACACTGGCGTGGGAGCTGCTTGCTGCCTGCGAGCTGAGACGGGTGGAATGTGGTCTCTGACATCCGAGTCCTGCGCTCACGTTCCGCGGCATCCAGGAACCTAATCCTGGTATCAAGGGGGACGTTTGCACTTCTGCATGTTATATACGGCACAGTAGCTCGTAGGCTGAGTGCAGTACATCCACTACCTATTTTTACATCCTGAATTCACAAAGAACCTTCTGTTGGTGTAATATCGCATTGCTTTGTATTTTTAAGAGGCGGTGTGTAGTGGTGACAGCGGCTCGGACCCAGAACGCTCTGTCCGCCGCTTCTCCAATAACTGGATCTGGATGAATGTATCTGTCAGCCGGTGATTGCAACAACGGGGGTTTCAATTCCCTCCCCGCTTAGCATGTACGGCGTGCACTACATCACGCGTGTGATTAATGGCTCACGGGGCCCGTGTGCTGAAGGAGCAAAGCGAAGAAGCACGTTAGTGGATAGCAGTGATGGTAAAAGAGTCTCCGCGGGGGAAACGTCCTGCGCACGCAGGACAAGCTCAGACAACTTCTCTGCTGTGAGCCGTGACTCACGTCAGGGACACTTTCCAAAATAATCAGCCAACAAAAAGAAGATGTCACGCTTCAAAATTGTGGACGATGTGAAGAAGTGCACCGAGGGCGCCTTGCTGATCGCGCGTTGCACAAGGAACCCCAAGCAGACAAAGGCCACCGGGCCACAGGAAACAAGCTTAGGGGGAACCTTTTTCATCCAAATCACAGAAACATTGGTCAGGTTTTGTACAATGGAAGAGCACATTTTGCACACCAGAAGGTCAACAGGTGCTGGTTAGAGTAGGAGAATATCCAGAGAAGACGTTAACAAAAACCCCGTCATAACCCAGTGACTAAATACTAAATATCTGTGGTCTTCTTGTTTCCTCTTTAAAAAGTGCTTTTCCAGCGGCCCTCCCCTTAAGAGCAGTTCAAATATTTAACTCCAACCTTACAAAGAATTGTTATGCAATTCTTCTTTCTTGATATTCATAAAATATAATGACAAAATGACAAAGAATGCCAGATCTGTTTCATATCCGTGCCGGCCAGGGGTCGACCTCTAACAACAAGCGGCTGGTGTATTAAAATGCTGCAGAGGTGTCAAACATTACCGTAGTCATAATCCTTTAGTCAGCACATTTAATATGGAAGACAGTCATAATTTACAAAAAACGTTTAAAAAGATACAAATAAAAAGTCACATTCAAAAAGCTATATTCAACACATACTTTTATTTGGAGTGTGAGGGCTGCATTGGCTTTGTGGCACATTTTGCTCGATTTGTGCGACATCGTATGAAGCTGTGACACAATGCTACTGTCAAAATATATACGAGTCTATATCTATTTTAAAAGTATTGCAACAATTCTCTGGCACATCTTGCGATGGAGAAAGTGATATGCTGAGTATCAAATTATAGAATATTGTTAGGCTATGTAAAATATTAATAATAATATTTAACATTCCCTGCTATTAAAGAAAAATGTTTAAAATCTTTATCCACCCAAACTCAATCAATGGATTGTATCCTTTAACAGCAGATACAAATATATATAAATACACAACAAACAAATGAGAGATTTAGTTCAACCTCAATCAGATCCAAAAGAATGTTGGTGATGAATACAGATTGCTACGTGTTGGTAATTAGGGGCGACACCCATATCATTCAATTATGTACCTGATAAAAGAATACTGTCCCAAGAGGGACGCTTGGTTTTTCAACCGTCCCTCCCCCCAAAATAACAAAGAAATGAGTTAAAGGCACTTTAAAGGTTGCTTTGGATACGTGGATGGTGGCCAAAGAAACTAAAAGCTAGAGACAGAAGTTCAGACCGGCAGGTGCTCGGTCTCAGTCTGAAAAACAAAACTACCACGTCCCTTTGAAACCGTTCACGTAGGAAATATGATAATCCTATATAGGAAGGAAGCGACCCCCAGTTTGCAACGGATTACGGTCAAGCGAGCGAGCCTGGATTCGTCCATCGTGACGGCTGCTGCTGCTCCTCCGAATCAACTCGGGTCCAAAGACGCCCCGTCAACATAAGTCAAAAGCTTTGACAATGAAATCAAATCCCAAACGCACCATTGTAGATTAGACATGTTCTGTTATGTGTGGTTGCTGTACAGGGGGAGCAGAGATACAGAACATTCATAATGCCGTCTAAAACAACCACGACCTAAAACCTTACACCCATTATCTTCCCTTCATTTCAGTGCTATGAGAAAATGTTGATTTTATTTCCAGCTCTCCTCAGCAACCCTTAAACCTGGCAGTGTTGAAGCCGCTCGACACAAGCTCCTCCCAATATTCCGTGCTCCTTAAATAAATCCACACAGAACCGCTGCCACTTCCTGTATTACACTCACATACACATTCTCTGCACTTTCTGCAGAAATAACTAAGTGAATTTAACCATTGACACCATGCTGATATGATGAAAAAATGTAAAAAATAAAAATATGGACATTTGAAGTTGTCCGAAGTTGTACTATTTCATCCTGACATCGTTGTAGATGTCCCCTGATATTGGGGGGGCACATGAGTGGAAATAAAATAAGGCAACATTTAATCTTTCAACAATAGAGGGAACTATTTCGCGTGGGCCAGCGGCGCTACGAACGTCGCCCCACTGGGGAGTCGGGGGAATTACTCCGCCTCTTTAAACTACTAATACGGCCGTTGGGGGGAGACGGAACGCGGAGCAGCAGCTCGGCTTCTAGCTCTGGTGTCTCTTCATGTGCAGCGCCAGGTGGTCGGAGCGGGAGAAGCAGCGGCTGCACGCGGCGCACTGGAAGGGCTTCACCCCGGTGTGTTTCCTGAAGTGGCGAGTCAGCTCGTCGGAGCGCGCAAAGCGCCACGCGCATCCCTCCCAGGAGCAGCGGTACGGTTTCTCTCCTTCAGCAGACGGGGAGAAGAAAAAAAAATGAAGGCACGGCAGATGGATGACATAATTATACGCATTAAAAAGTGTTCACTTAAAAAAAAAAAGTGTACGGAAAACTTGCTGGTGACAAAATGAGCTGCGATGTTGGGGGGAAAAAAAAGGCCGATACTTTCTCGATCGCCGTGCATCAAACTGGAAGTTCATGAATCACAGCGTGCCAGCAGAGAGATGTGGGCCAACGTCTGTGGGCAGACAGAACGCGTCTGCGTGCCAAGAGCGGATATTTCTGCCCGGCAACTACGCCTCTTTCTCCCTGAAATAACAAGTGCGACGCCAAACACTTTACCTGTGTGGGTGCGCACGTGGGCTTTCAGGTGAGACGACTTGGTGTACACTTTCCTGCAGCCTAAAAAGAGGAAGGAAAAAACAACAACAACAAAGATCAGCGCGCTGCGCTGCGACGTGTTGCGCTGTGAATTCGCCCCAAACATCTGACCTGCAACATCACAGTGGTGAATCCGCCGCCTCTCCAGATCCGGGTTATTCCTTCTGTTGTACTTGGCCGGAGCCGGCTGGGCCATGACGGGGGACAGCGGGCACGGCGTCAGGCCGGAGTGCCGGACCGGCTCGGGACCCGGGCTCTGGACTAATCCCACGCTGGAGTGCTGGTCCGCCTCTCGGATTGCAGCTGTGCCCGGCGCGCGTCCTGCGTTAGTTTGACAGGCCTGAAAAGTTAAGTTGGAGGCAACGCCGGCTACGTAGGTGGGGGCACGGGACAGATTGTGGAGGACCTCCTTCCCCCCGCCTGGACTCGGGGGGTCGGAGTTTGGCGGCGAGGGCGGCAGATAGGCCGGCCTCTGCCGATGGACATGGTGCGGGTTAAATGGCAAACCTTTCCGCTGACGGCCGCTGGTGGGTTTGGCGGACGTCTGCGCGTGGACGTCGGGGAGACTCAAAGGGGCCACGGAGACGGAGCCCGGCTGGCACCCGTGAACCAGCTGCTCCAAGTCACAGTTCAGAAGCTGATACAGGGGCACATCCTGGAAATCTGGCACTTCCTGTTTGATGTAAAATCGGCCGCCGGCTGAGTCGGCAGCGCCGAAACCACCAAAGTATTCTGGAAGTGGCGGCAGCGGCGCCGCCGCGCCCTGGCAGCTGGTCTGCATCAGCGTGTCGGACGGCTCTGTTTTGATCTGTCTCACGGTCCGGCAGAGATCCGGTCGCAGGTACGTTACGTCTGGGAGGAGCAGGCTCATGTTGACGCTGTAGGGGGGGCCAAAGTCTTCCGGGAAAGGCGGCTGCGGCACCGGGGCCCCGGTGTCCCGACTCGGCGCTTTGGAGTTGCCGGCGTACTGCTGGTGCGGAGACAGGTAGCTGTCCATCTCGGGTGTAAACTGAAAAACAAGAGGACAACAAAAGTTGTGTTAACCCCAAAAACACCATCATCCAGTTGCACAGATTTCCTTACAGCAAGGTGGTCCCTGAACGCCTCAGCTGACTTCAAGTGTTGTTCCTCAGGAGATTAAAAAAAAACAACCCGCTGCGCTCACTGGTGTGTTCACACACTCACACACACACACACACACACACACACACACACACACACACACACACACACACACATATATAAAAAGGACGCCACCGCTCCCTTTTTAACAAGCAACGGAGCAGACGCCCTTCTAACGCGTTCGAGCCCTGAGCGGTTTGTAAAACAAGAACGAAGCAAAGAGACGCGTCTCTCTCTCTCTCTCTCTCTCTCTCTCTCTCTCTCTCTCTCTCTCTCTCTCTCTCTGCAGCATCTCCCGCCTCGCAAGTTGCACGATGCACGTCCCACTCGTGAAACGAGCCCACCCGCCGCACGCCTTAAGCACTCGATATCAGCATCAGCTCATTCGCGGTGACGCGTTTTGGGGCGCTGGACGTGGATACGACAACGCGCGGGCCTCCGGCACGAGCGCAGGCGCGCGTCGGTAAAACAGCGTGCAGATGCATGAGGGGGGGAATGCGAACGCGAGCCTACCGGATTGTTGTCGTGGAGCGAGGAAGCTCCCGGGACGGCTTCCCGCGTGAGACAGAGCGCTTGTCCCGGACCGCCGCCGGTCACGCCGACGATGCCGTGGAGACGCGGTGCGTCGTGCCGCGCAGCGTCCTGCCGCGCAGCGACACACGCGGGATTCCACGCGGGGGCGGCGGCCATTAGACAGCAGCTCGCAGATAAATCAAGCACGTGTTTGTCCCCCCCCACCCCACCCCGTAGGTTGCGACCCGCGCGAGCAAAACAGCCGGCTGTCAAACGTGCATCATTCCCCTTAAGTCTGTCTTCGCTTTCGCTTCTTTTTTTTTTTGGCGCTTGCTTCGTCAAATTGCGCAACTGCGCGATGTCTGCGTGTCTGCAGGGGCGGGGCCGAAGGTGTGCGAAATAAACAGGATCGGCGGCGGTGGAATGAACGGCCGGTTGTACGATGGAAGTCGGAGGGCGGGGTGGTCGTCATGGATGAAGGCGCGGTAGAAATAACAGCAAACACGTGTGCGCGCGCGCGCGCGTGTGTGTGTGTGTGTTATACAAAGATGCTTTGTACAAGAGGCGTGTTTGCATCCATGAAGCAGCAGTTGATTCTGAGAATGATTGGCTGTGATTGAACAGTGTTCCTCATGGATCGTGTTTAACCGGCTGAGTGGCTTCTTCAACTGTCATATGTGACTCATGAGGGCCAAATATCTTGAGGGTTGGAAAAGTCCAAATTCAATTCTTTTTTTTTTTCTTCTTTTTTTAGCTTTTACACCGAGTTGGATAAATTCAAACTGAATCAAGGTTCACGGTTTTTGCAACACTTATACAGCAGCCCACTCCGTCCCCAACGAGCGGCTCACTGCGGTGCAGCTGTCCGTCAGCATTCTTGAGCAAGACTGGATGTTCCCATCAAACATTCAAATACACTGTGTGTGTGTGTGCGCGCGCGTGTGTCATACAAAATTGCATGCAATTTTCCCCTGTTATAATAAACCGAACCAAAATGCTGCGTCTGCGTAGCTACGTACCTTCTTGTAGTGACCTTGTGGGAGCTTTGCAGTAAGTTGTATTCTTTTGCCGTCTACATCCTGGGATTTACTCTGGATGTGTGGCTCAGCGGTGAAAACGAATCGGTAATCCGACCTCCTGACAGCAGCTTTGTACCTCAGCTTAGCGGGACACAACTGCCTCGTCAGAGTTGTTTTGGTTCTCTTTGGCCCCCCACAGGTGCACGGAGTCAAAGTATTAGTCCACGACAGCGCCGGGCCAACATGCTCCAACTGGAAACACAGGTATGCCGCAACCACGAGGCTGTGTAGCATCTCGCGATGAGGAGATGTCCTCTTCTTTTTTAGTGTGTGACATTTCCTGCCACTCCCGTTCATAATCTTTTTTTCTCCAGGCAGTATTTGTCCTCTTATTAAAATGTCGTGACTGCACCCACGGCGGGCTTGACTGAACACGCTTTTCTAAATGCACGATCTGAATCTGAAAGGAGGTTGCATCATATTATCCACGTGAATCAAAGTAAGACTCTTTGTATGAGCTACATCACGTTTTGTACCTAAGCTACATGCACGTAAAACCAGACCAAACCAGCACTTTACATACTTTGGCCACACTGGTGAAGGTGTTGCTGTGCCAATGCACACACAACAGCACAAGCTATTGTGTGTGTCTATTTAAACACTTGATTGGTAGACAGATTCAATCTCCGCTTAACCTCAGGGGGCTACAGGGGGGGGGGGGGGGGGGGCTGGCCCCAAAAAACTGCATGGGAAACCCCGGAATGGCCGCCAGTCAATCGCTGTGAGATTCACACACCCACGGAAACGTTTTAGGACAACAAAGCCGGAGTTTGTGGATGGTTTGAACCGAGTTTTGAACCGAGGACCTTCTTTATGTGAGGCGACAGGAACCACTGTGCTGCCCCTTCATGAGACCTACTTCCTTTCATTAGTATCTCCTCCATGGGGTTATAACATATGTGTATATGATGGGTATAACATATGTATATATGATGGGTATAACATATGTATATATGATGGGTATAACATATGTATATATGATGGGTATAACATATGTATATATGATGGGTATAACATATGTATATATGTTATAACTTCAACGTGTAGACGTTACCACATGACAGAGGATCTTATTTGTAATGGTGGTTTTTATTTTTAAATATGCATTATAAACAAAACTACTACTACTACAACTATGATCTACTTTGTATAATTTATTTTTGATCAACTGTGACGTATTAAGGATGCCACCCAATCTAACTTCTTTAAAGCACTTGTGTTCATATCTCCTTAAGGATGAAGTAAAAGAAAAGACCAATCTGAAAATTATTCAAATGACTGCTGATCATCCAATTAGGGCTGATTGATGGCTTGTCATGCGCTGACCTTTTCGGAGTGCAATTTAAATCCGCGGATGTCTCGGCGCCAAAGAGGAGCAACTGTCATTCTTGGCCGTCTCTCTTGCTGCACGGACGAATGTGAGCCGAGCCCCCCCCCCCCCATCTCAAAAACACACAATATGCCCAACAACTGCACAGCAGAGCAGATCACAGCCTCACCATGGACTCATGTGGAGAGGCCACAAGGGGGACGGGTCAATAAAGCCCCGCTGCCCGTTGGGAGCACAGAGGGGAAACCCTACAACGTGTGGATGGTTGGTCTTTGTGCAGCCGATCAGTGACTAATGATGTGACATGTTGTGGTGTTAGTGTAACGTCACAAATACAAATACGTCTCACGCCGTGTGCATCGTCCGTCCTCGGGCAGGTGCTCGGCCCCCCCACCAGAGGGCAATGGTCAGCCGCAGTGGAACTTCCTTTGTGCGTTCCCCTTCTCTTTGTACTGCTGAAGCATCAAATGAACGCTGCTGATGGATCCCAGTCTTAAGTCGGGGAAATTACCTTCAGTGAGTGGAAAAGGCAATGGGATGTTTCTTTTTTTTTAACGCAATCAATTAACACTTTCATTTAGTGCTGTTAACAGTGTTCTAAATGTCTTAATGTGTTTTTGATGAGTTCATTTGAATTCACAAATGATATTCTTTTTTATGTATTAATGAAAGACAGAAGAAGGCAAAGAGTCGTTGCTTAGTAGACAACTCGTCTGACTATACATTCTCCATACGACGGCGAGAGAAGCCACTCAGAATTATTATTCATTTGATGTCGGCTTTACAAAGCCTGCCCTTGAAAGAAAAACAGACAACGACTACAATCAATAATCTTTTCTCTGGCTTTATTATTTGGTCTCAAAGTTTGGCTGTGTTACAAGCCCGCCTTGTTGACTCTATACGGCATTTATCTGATCTGACACAGTTTCATTAGGCATTAGTAATCATTTCCATAGCACACAACATTAGAGCACCCCTGTTTGTAAAACAGCAGATGAGGCTAATGCCATCCTCTGGGGAGAAATTCAATATAATTTCTTAATTAAATGGAATAATTTAATTACAGTAACTTTCGAAAGCATTCATCAATATAATTGTTTCTGGAGCCACCATTGTAATTGAGGTTTAAGTGAAAACAAGTCCGTTTCTAATGTTGGTAATGTGCTGACATGGTTCTCCCGCCCCTCCGTTTGTTCCTCTCTCTGATCTTCCACCGGGCCTTTTTTCTCCACGCCGCTTTCGTTTGATGGCCGGCCATTCCGCATCAGCCAGACCAAAACATTTATTACAGCCATTTAATTTAACCTCTCTACAGGCACGGACAAGAAGGCCCGGATGATAGCGCCGGCGGCAGCGCTGAAAGACTCTCGCTGTTCGCCTCCTAATCTGATCCTCCCTGCTGCCCTTTCATAAAGACACCCGAGCATTAGCCCCGACTCCAAAAACATACCTGCGCCATTTAAACTGTCTTGGATTTCATCACAAAGGGCGACCAAATAAGAGTCCGATTCATTCGTCGGGGGGCCAAATAATAAAACATAATTTCCAGTCTAATCTTCCCAAGGAATGTCCTCTGTTTGAAGTTGACAGTGCTCTATCTTCTTAGAGGAATAATTGCCTTTTGAGTACAGCAGGAGAGGCCACTGAGGTAAGCCGGTCGAGGGGCCTGCACCTTACAGGTGTGCCCTTGGACGGACAACCTCCTCGTTGTTCTGGAGACAGAGAGAGAGAGAGAGAGAGAAGAGACGGGGATACTGAAGGTATTCATCTGCCAGTTGAAACGTTACAACTGCAAAGCTGCCGTGTGGCCCAAAAGCGGAGCGAACAAAGGCAACACTGATCTCATGAATTTTATCATTTTGCCGAGCCGGTTTTGTGAAATTGACCTGGTTGTAATCTGTGTGATTTGCACAACTGCATTCGGGCCGACAGTTACTGTCCCGACACGCGCAGTCCCGTCCTTGTGCAGACTTTGTGTGCTTATGGAAGCAGATTCCAATGCATAAATCAATGAATATCATATACACCAAACATTCACTTTTTGTTTTCATTAGAAAAATGAATGAATGAATATAACACTGAATGCATATTCAGTCGAACCTAAAACGACCCCAAGCTGCGTCGTCATCGTCGAGGCCAAGGATCCCACGATCCCACGAACACGCTTGACAAAGGTCGATGTTCAACTGCCGGCGACCTTTAGCTCCACCCAGTGAAGCCAATGTGCATGTCTTAGATTTTGCATTCTCTCTCCTGACCAGTAGGGGGCGACTCCTCTGTCCGCAAAAATAAGTGAAGAGGAAGGCAATGCTTCTATTTCTTATTTACAGATTATGATGTTCTCAACATGTAGTTCGTCATGTCAAAATGCAAAAAATGGAAATGGGAACGGGGGGGCGGCTTGTGCCATTTTGCTTCTTTGTGTCAAAAAAGTTTTCCCCTTATTCGACTGTGCAAACACACCCTCCCTCTTTAATTTCTTCAGCCACCTGCAAAAAAACAGTCGGCATTGCAACATTTGCAGGTATTCCGAAACTTGTTCATATC